TAAAAATATTATCTCTAGGAGTACCTTAATTAAATAACAATTTTACATAGCTATGTAAATGTGAAGCATCATGATTATATAAATGACCACTTGAGATTGCAAAATACTAGTGATAGGATAGACTGGATACTGCCACAGCTTTTGCACTAGGAAGAGATAAGTTCCAGGACTGTACAGTATTTCTCTGCTTTGAAAGCTGCAGGCAGTTGCTGTGATGTCCTCATTCTGCCTAACAGCAGTAAATGTTTTTGTATTAATATTAGCAGATAATGAGTCATCATAAAACATCCAGGCTTGTCTTATGAGAAATAATAGTGCTTCAAACATAGACCTGCTAACAGAGATTAAGTATTCTAAAGAAACTAGTTAATTAAGATTTCAGTTTTACATGAGAGAGAGATGATATTTGGAAAGTCGTTCCCAGCTGCTGAGTTGGATGGCTTGTGTTAGAGACAGGAAGGAGAACAGGACAAAGCCACCAAATAAATGGTTTTGAGAAAGATAAAGAAAAAAGTAGGATTCAATGAATACCCAAACCTACCAAAGATGGAAATAGCTAAGAGGTCTCTGGCTGGAGGACCAAACTCTGCTGTCTACTTTGCTGTAAGGAGGCTGCAGAAGCTGGCTTGGGATGCTCCTCAAACCGATAGGCTAAGTACATCAAAACGCCTGAGCCTGAATCAATTAAATTTTTTCAGATTAGTCTAACCTGTATAGATTGAACCAGCAAACAAGTGAATAGACATTCACTTTCGATTCCAGAAATGCAGGCACACGCTTGTAGTAGCTCAGGCCAGAAGCCAGGGCATGCTAGGGCAAGTGCTTGGCTGGAGAGAAACTGAGCTGGGGCAATTGGGGGAGGGATGGGGGGAGGCACAGCCAGGCCCTCGGCATGCTGAGTACTACTGGAGAGAGGTTTAAACGACTACCCTGGCATGCACAGCCCCCAGTTGGGATGTACCTGGAGGGGGAAACAGCCCCTGCCAGGCATTTCCCACCCTCCCCATATGCTGCTCAAGTACTTGGGGGCATGGCCAGCCCTGGGAGCAGCCTCAAACAAAGGGGAGATGGAGTGGGGCTTAATTCCGCCTTCCCTCCCCTGTCCCACCAACATGGACCCAAGCCAGGGTCTGCCAGGCTGGGGTGGAGCAGCCGGTGTCAGGGTTTCCCCACTTCGCTGCTCCAATGGCAGGGGTGGTGGTGTGGCCAGACACCAGCTGATATGGGCCCCTGAGGCAAAGGGGGTAGGAAGGGGGTTTATTCCCCTCTCCCTCCTCTCTACCTCTAGGGAGCCCGAGCCAGGGTCTGCGTGGGTGGGTGCGAGCAGCAGAGGCTGGGGGCTGGCAGACCCTGGCTGTGGACGCTGGCTGCATCTGGCCATGCCCCTGCCACTGCAGCAGTGTGGGGTGTGGGGGGACCCTTACATGGGCTCCTGTACCCCAGGTGGTAGGACAGGGGAGGGAAATTAAATCCCACTCTGTTTCCCTGTTCATTTAAGGCTGCTGCAGGGGCTGGCCATCTCCCCTGCTGCCTGAGCAGTGAGCGGGACCAAATGTGACCTCAATCAGTAAAGTCTGATACTACATTCAACCAAGTTTATCTCAAACCAGTTTCAGCCATTTTGAAACTGGTTTATGTGCACTGAACTTCTGTTCTGTCACAGGTTTAAACCAGTTTCTGATCACTTAAACCAGTTTATGTGTAACTTCTCTCCCTTCTCTTCCTAGCCATAGAGATGATTTTCCTTTGTGTTAAAGCCCAGTGCAATGATATGCATTTCCCATTGAGTGTGCATAGTGTCCAAAAACAGTGGCTCTAGAGGGAAGTCATTAGCATCATCCCTATTCTACTATCAACAGAAACAACCAGTTAGGGCAAAAAAGAGGCAAACCAGTGTCTTAATCTTCAGAGGGGTTTGTGGGGGAGACCCTGCTGATTTGGGAGGGTAGTTGTTGTATTTTAGATGAATATCAATCATTTTAAAGATTTAATTAAGGTTTGATAACAGAGAAAGATTATTTATCTCCTGTATAACTATTAATCCTCTATAACTATTTTAATAATGGTTTAGTATTTAGCATAGAAGCTTTTCTTGTTAAATCTAAATTAAACACATTCTGGAAGCGTTTAACTTAAATTCTTATGAAAATTACATTTACAAGCATAAGCAAATGTACATGTCTTGCAGGCATACACTTATTCATGCTCAAGTGAATGCAGAACTGCACACACACATACATCACAGACTATACACACAGACCTCATGACTGTATATATACATATTCATAAGCATGTGCACTTACTTCATGGCACAAATACATGCCTATATACACAGAGATGGAAAAACACATCTAGGCCTATATCATCTTTACAGATACACGTATGAATACCAGTCCTCATTTTTGCTAATTCATACATGTGCTTTTACGCAAACCACATATGTACATAGAACATATGCTGTTCTTTTGTGGGCATATGCACAATGGGAGGCAGTGTGTCCTCAGAGAAAACTTAAAGAACACTGTGTAGTGAGAGATCTTTAAGACAAGGACAAATATATAGCTTAAGAGAAACTTCAATAGGAACTCTGTGCTTTTGATGTTTAACCAATTTTCTATTGATTTCTTTAGGGCATTGAAACTTTAGAAAATCTTGTTAGTACTCATCTTCTTTTTCTCATTTGCTGGGCTACTCCATAATTTTCTTAGCCAGAGCATGAAAAGCACTAGAATTCAAGGATGATCAAAAATAAATTATGTTTGGGAAAACATATTGAGGAGATAAAAGTATAAAATCAGGAATGCCCAAGCCTCTTATTTGTTCCTACTACTTGCCAAAAGCCTCTTCAGCTCCCCGTTGATAGAAATCTGCCTCCTTATTCAAAAGTTTCCCCCAAAACACACTGAGACATGAGAGTTGCAAAGCTGAAACTCCTCAAGAGATGGTGAAGTGGATAAGTCAATCTCAAATGCTTATTTAAAAATAATAAGCACAATGCATCAATCTCCAAACAGGACTACGCAGGGCTATAGGGAATGAAGTGTGAACTGTATCAACAGTCAGGAACTCACATCAGGTGCGGAGCCACAGGTAGTGAGCCCTGATACTTTATCTGCTGCTGCCCCTACCCCAGTAGACTGTAGCCCCCAGACTGGACAGATGTAGCCCTAAGGAGGTTTTTACCACTTGTGAATAGACAGAGGACATTATTCCCCTGGCCAGACCCACTCCTACCACACTTTCTACAACTGAGCTTGCAGGCATCAGTAGAGCAGGAACTGGCTGCTGGGGTAGTCTCTTTGATTGCCAGATCTTTGGCTTCCAGGTGCAAAGTTGGGCTAGACATCAGCTTCCTGTCTGACCCTGGAGCCCAAACCTTAAGAACATTATCCAAACTACCCCAACTTCTGGAAGTTGCAAGGTTGGGCTGAAAATCACATGGCAACATTCCTTTTTGAGACCTGCCGCTGTGTCCAAGAACACTGTCAGGAAAGCTTTTTGCTAGCTGTTTCAGTAGTCGTGTTATTCTTAGCATTATGACTGCTACCTGCTGGCTCTCATTCACACACAAGGGCTTCAGCCACTTGTTTTTGCTAGATTCTACAAGCCCTAGGGAGCCGCCAAATCTGTCAGCTCTGGATGTCATGATCACCCTCTTCCTTTACTGAGGATGACTCAATTGAGTAGTCTATGAGGGCAAATCTACCTTGCCTTTTGCATTTATTGCATAGATTTTCCTTCTGAGGCAGCCTCCCTGAGCAGTAACTGATTCTCTTCCTCCTGTCACAGTGCAGCCCTCCCCCAGCCAGCCAATATGACTTTAATAGACTCAATTTACTCCTACAGTCATGAGTCTAGCAGCCAGGTTACATTTTTCTTCACAGGAGGAGCCTAGTAGGAAGGCAGCCGTTGGAAGTGAGTTAATATTGTGCAGCGTATGCAGGGAATGTGACAGTAGGCAAGTAAATGAAGTACGCATTGTGGAGGCAACAGCTCCGTAGTTAATGAGCACAAGAGCCCAGTACATCTTATCTGTGTGATATGGAGTGATTCACAGGCAGTGATCACAGGTGATACAGGTTAGACTTGTGCTAAGCGGCAAGTATT